ATACAGTTAAAATACCTCCAACATGCATGTCATACAATCGCTCAGTATGAGCCTGAAGTAATTTTTTCCAATGCTCCCGAAGCAGGTTATTGTGCTCGAGTCACAACGAACATACGAGCACAGCGTGACCTTGCTGATCATCAGCTGACCACTTCTGTCCTACGTCTACAGCTCCCTGCTCTCTGTCCTTGCCGCCCCAGTGCTCTGCCCCCCTCACCAACCACAGTTTATTTTCATTTACCATGCTGCGGTACGTCAGCTACTTTTCCGGTCAAAGGTGGCTAATTGATCACGGGTATGGAAAATTATCTGGGGGACAGCAGGTCCGGCCTCATCTATTGCATGTCTATTCTTTTGTCGAGAAACTGAACTGAACGTGTGGTTACGCAAAAATGTGTCGATGAATTTTAGCACATTGCGGGTCGTAATGATCGTATGATCACGATATCGTAATGATCACGATGATTATCGTCTCCCAGTTCTTTGTGAACCACCTCGTACTTCTTTTAATGTGCCGGCTGATAATTGTGACACCAAATGAATGGTCGTCCCTCATCAGTTTTGTACCATGCATGATATAGGAAAGGTCTACACGAAAACATCCATATTCGCGAGTTTTTAAACGTTCAATATTCCTCTTCTGGGATTGAAGGTCTCCTGCGATTCACGATAATTATGCCCGTGAACAGCAACTGTATGGTCCCCATGGACTCTGTGATCCCTTTGAATTGCCCTGCAGCATCGGGATTTAAGTGTAATTGCCTCAGCGTGGCTATAGTTCCGGCCACAGCGTAATTAAATGGAAAGTGATACTACCACCAAATCCTGTAATGCTATTTCAGTGTAGTTTACTACAGCTGTCATGCAGATAGCATGCATAATGGGCGCTGGAACATGGATAGAGGGCTATGCGGAAACATAGACACCGACAGCAATTGTAGGTAGGCAATAAAACGCATGTAACATGTGTGCATATTGCTGCGATCGATGACGAACTCCCTCCAATGAACTCCGCCTTTCATGGCCGTCCGCACTTATTTCCACTCTGCCCACGGGGGTTATTGATATGCCCGCATATCCTCCCAGCCCGGAGAGTGGAGACCCGCTCTCCGCCCGCCCGCCCGCCCGTGCCGGCGAGAAGGGAGCGCGTCTCCGTCTGCCGCGTACTTCACGGCGAGCCGAACAATGCGCCCTCGTCTGTCTTCCCCGATAATGGCGTCGCTCTTCAGTGGGCAACAGACTTCAGAGGTGATGGCGCCTCCTCACGCAACGCAACAATGCCGGCGCGCTCAGCATCGGCCGAGCCACGCCAGTCGCCAGACAGCGCCTCTCAAATAATTCTCACGAGCCTCGGCAACTGACAGAGTATGCCTGGTTGGAAGCCAACTTATTTACTGAGTTTTTCCTATTATTAAATAATTGCTACCGTCCAATGCCCATACAGTGATTCGTATTGTGCGCATATGTCTACGGAACAAATTTGTGATCTGTATCTGCATCTTCCTTATATCTGCCAGATTCTGCTCACCATGATTCGTTCGATCTCCCAATTTTGTTTCCAAAATATATCGATGTCTCCAAAGATCTCCCCAGCGAGTCAGTCTGCTTCGATGTCTTCCCAAGCTCCCCAGAAAGCCGGTCTGCCCCAACGTCTCTCAGAATCTACCCAGAGAGCCGGGGCCGCCCTCGGAATCTGCCCAGGGAGCCGGTCTGCCCTCAGAATCTACCCAGTGAGCCCATCGGTCCCGACGCGCCAGCCCATCGGTCCCGACGCGCCAGCCGGTAGTCATAAATCGCCTGAGGCGGTCGCGATACAATCTCCGGAATCGGAGGCGCCTCGCGCGCCAGCTGCTCGACCGTGCCGTGTGTGGGACACGGAGCAGTCACGGGAGAGTTGGCTCGGGAGGGGGGCTAAGGACTGTCTCCGGTCTCAGCAACTAACTGCCGGAGGCGATGATTAACCCAGCGACAGCTGCCGCAGCGCCGCGGGGAAAGTTTAGGGATGTGGCGGCATTGGTCGTCGTGTCGGTGGTCATGTGAGCAGGAATGAAGGAGCCAGGAGTTGGGGGAAGGGAGGGACTCCGGGCGCTCCCGGTATTCGGAGTTTCTGAATTACGATTCGGAGTTACGAGCGCTACGAAGGTGCCTCGAAGTCAGCCTGTGATTTAATTCGTGCCGGAGATGGCCGTCCCATGCCGGTGGCGGGACGTTTCACATGTTGCACATGTGGCTCGACGGAAAACGACGGCCCTTCTGAGTGACAAACTGGCGCTAAAACGGCGACGACGGCGGCGGGGCGTCAGAAACGGCCGGGCCGCAGCAGACCGTGACGAGTCGGACGGTAATGTCACATTGTCGCGGCGGCAGGGAGGGAGGGAGGGCTGCACGGGCGCCGCGACGGCTGCCGTCAGGTATGCACAGCTGTGGCCCGCTAATGGCGTCCCGCTGCAGATTAGTCATCATGAATGATGATCGGAGTGGCTCGAACGGCGCCGTTTGTGGCCGGGAAATGTGACCTGGAGGGAATGGGTGATGTCAAGGATCATCTCCCGGGCTGCCAGGTCGCGTTGTGGACGCACTGATAAAAATTTTGACACCCCACCTCCACGACGACTCCATATTTCGGAGTCTGAGTGCTTAAATTTTGGTGCCCGACTCCAAAATGTATGGTCATCGCCCCATCTTTTGGCGTCAGTTTCCGACGACGTCAAAATATGGTGTCCTCCTGAGAGGGTCATGATACCCTTAAATCGGATCAGTGAGTTCGGCGAGGGTGTTCGACACCAAAAGAGGGATACTTGACGCCTTTGTTGGGGAGTGTCTATCTCAAAAAAGGAGTCGTGCATTTTGGCAAGGGAGTAAGAAACCTTTTTATGAGAGTCACGTTGGAAATGAGGTGTCTCGACTCCACATTCTACACTCATTTAACATGGAGTCGAGACTCCTTTTACACATTTGACTCCCAGAAACGGTGTTTTACTCTCTTGTCAAAATGTTCGACTCATGATCAAAGAAAGATGACTCTCTTTTAAAAATATATGACTTTCCTTTGAAAATAAGTGACTCTCTTTTGAAACTGTGGGAATCTATTGAAAATGAGCGACTCCCTTTTGAACATGTGCGCGAGTCTCTTTAAAAATGTGCAATTCCCTTTTAAAGATGTTCGATTCCCTATTGGAAATGTGCGAATCCCTTTAAAAAAGTACGTTTCGTCTTAATTAATACAGGACGCCTTAGTTCAAATGTATGAATTCCTTTTCAAGGTCTCCTTTTGGTGTACGACTCCCTGTCGAATGATCCCCAATGACCTACGACTCCCTTTTGAAAATTACCTTTTGATGATACGGCTTTCTTTTGAAGATCTGCTACTTAATACATCGCTGAAAATATACGCCTTTCTAACTAAAGTGTCACGCCTCATCACGGGAATGTTTAACCGTCTAAACGGAAAAAGTATACCTCCTAAGTAAAGTTTCGGACTCCTCTATGACTCCCTTAAAGGTAGTGTGCCAGCTTTCTTGGACCGTATGGAGTTAATGGCCCAGATAAGGAGAACCGGATTTTTAGAACTTATCCATACCTTCAAAACTCATGGAAACGTCTTAAATTCTTCAAATTTTGAGTACCCCAGTGCGAAATTCGCCCCGACGGGTTGTCGGTCGTACCCCAACCACATTTCACACCACTATGAACAATAAATGCACACACTGAAATCGCTATTACCGATATGCTCATCCAATCAAGTTTCGATAAACCCGTTCATCATCAGCTCCTGCGGTTTCGAACACGCCTGTTAGTTGGCTTCTGATGCTCGTCGAGGTCGGAATTTCCAAATACGCGTGGTGCGTCGGGCCGCGCGGACTTCGGCCAAGAAAAATGCGTCAGCTGATCATTGTCATTTCTGCCACTTGCGTGTGGTGAAATGGGGTCATAACTTATAAGACGGCTTTTTCATATCATTTATTTTACATAAAATCATATTTCAAACCATAAATAATGTTCGACAGCCAAATAAAAGAAACAATACCAATACGGGCTTACAGTTTAAGGCTCGACATTGTGTTGTCTACGAGTAGACAGCTGATAACTCATTCCCGTACGTCGTATGGTCGTAACACTATAATGACCTTTGCTTATTGTCACAAGTGCGGCGCATTCGCGATTGTTGCCCGACGCCTGTTTGCAGGTGAGCCCACTACAGTTGTTATACATATCTAAAAACCGATAAACTTTTAGGCGAAAAAGGCACTATTCCAGGCCCATTTTTGATTTTTTTTGCGATATTAGGTAAAAACAGAAGCTTCTTATCCTAGGAAAAATAAAATGGGAAATCTTTCAAAGGTGGCACACTACCTTTAAACGGATGTCATAAAGGTGGCGCTGGCATCGGCTGGTACTGCTAGTTTTAACTTTTCTCATAGATGTCGTTAACTGTCACAGCCTTTTTTCGGGTCAAACTTTCCGCTCTTTCTATGAAGGTTTGAGGAATCTTGTCTTTCTTTAATAATTTTTACGAGTTTGGCAGCTTGTGGTATAAACCAGGGCCATCACAACTTCTGTATGATGTAAGGTGATTGTGTGATAATGCTTTAGCGGCTAAAACTATGTGGAAATACTCATGCTGTAAATAATAAAGCCTAAGATTTTCAGACGCGTGGCCTTATGGATTTGACTCCAATCTTGGAGTCGAATCTAAAACCGGATGGAGGCATTGAAGTCTCACCTGGGAACTTCCGAAAAAAACATTTGGAGTATCTCTCGGTTATGTCGTGATTCCGCGTGACCGGAACCATAGATGGGCTCATTCAAAACGATTCCGAAGCTTAAGTGCCTGTTTAAAGGTACCGCAGGCTATGAACGTTTGTGTTATTTCAAAAATTGTGTTTGATCTCAGCTTCATACTGAATATCGAACTCTTCAAGCCTGAAATATTTCTTGCCTTTTCTTCTCAAAACGACATGGAGATAACAATGACTGACTCCGAACCGTTACGATTGCAGTGCTGAGCCGAAACGCCTTCTGTTCGGGCTACGTGGACAGCTTCGGCAAATGGAACAACGGCTTCCCGTGCCCGCGGATTGACGACGAGGAGGTGTTTTGCTGCGGGACGACCACCTACCGGTACTGCTGCAGCGGCCGCGTCGGCTCCGACTACGACGGCGATTCGGACCGAGCCGCCGCCGACTTCCTCAGCGAAAAGTGAGTCGGGTGGGACAGCCGGCAGGGGGGGGGGTGGTAATTTATAGGGCTGCCAAATAGTTATCTAAATATGTCGAATTGTCGTTTTTTCACATGTGATCGTGCTACGAATTATAATAGGGCCGTACTTTATTAGGTTTATTATCTGCAGTTTCCTGTGCGTGCTTCAAAACCCTTTGTTTGTTCGCTCTGTTCGCATCTCATTACGGTTTACATAAGAAATAAATAATAATACCTTATAGTTATACATGCTACGAATTAGGATCCATATTGACAGACCCTCCCGTCATTTTGTCCACTCCAGTAGCGAGAGCTGGGTCAACGACGTTTCAGTCATCGTTTTAGTCCCTGTACTTTCCGTTTTTGTAGCATGCACGATCAATTTGTGGGGGACGTGGCAGGTTTGATCGGACTGTTTTGCCGCGTGCTATGATGGCGATCCGTGTCTGTTCTGTGTGGTCGCCCGGCTGTCCTGTCTGGTCGCCCGCCTGTCCTGTCTGGTCGCCTGGCTGCCCTGTTCGGTCGCCTGCGTCCGTACCCGAAGCTGCCTGGTCGGGCGGCCCGTGGACAGCTCTGGTGCGGTGTTTACACAGGATCACCAGAGAGGTCCGATGCTGCTCCAGCCCGCGCCGTGTGTATGTCAGGGAGGACTGATAAGGGACCGCCAGCGCGGTGCAGTCCCGGCCCTGATCGGCCAGCTGAGGTATACAGTCGGCCGAGTTTGGGCAGTATGTCGCCCCGGATTGACTGCTGAGCTGATAAATCAAACTCTGTCTGGTCAAATACCCGGAGGTGTTTTCACTTTAGAAGACGTCTGGAATGTATTTGTGTATATTGATCAGCGCCGATCAAGGTCACTGTTGGACAACTTTTGCCGTCTGCGGCTTACCATCTTATGAATTTCGAAATGAAAGTGGTGGGATGCCTGCATAGCTGAGTTTGGAAGATGGATGGGAAATCTGAAGGTCACGCAGCATGTTAAATTCACATGTTTGAACTAAGCTGCAAGCAGTTCGCAGCAATATGTATTTTGAACCACTTGCAAGGCTTAATTGCAAATTTTTACGATCAGAAATTAATTTTAATCTCACATTTTACATCCAACCATGATCATTTACTGTGTATAGCTTTTATTACAGCGCAAAGACGTCGTTGCTGTACAGCCCTCTGCAAACTGCGTGGTAGGCATTCTTTTTTCGACAAAAACAAAAATAACGCGAATACTATGCTATCGGTCACTCAGAAATCGTAACAGCAAGACGCGCGAGACTCCGCACCCTAGATTGACATTATCATCGTATTCCTTTCCCATCCAGTTTGGCAACAAAACCCAAAAGTTTATATTTGCCCCCAAAACAAACTTTTGCATTTTGTTGCCACACAAGGCGTACCTATACATTGATTAGTGATAGACCCAGTCGAACGAGTGGAGCATGGCGCATCTATTTGCAGTGAGTTCCGACCGACTGATAACATATCCTTTGAGTTATCATCGGTTTTGTCGGAAAAAGAATACCTACCACGCAGTCTGCTGAGGACTGTACAATCTGTGCTATGCTCAACAGTGTTTCAGCGTATAGCCGTATTCGTCGACAGGACGCACTTCTGCTGCATCTAATATCTCAGGCCGGCAGATGGAACTCGGCCCATCCGTTTCTGTTAATTAAGCGGGCCTTCTCTGCTGATGACGTGATCAAAGTGGCGCAGAGAGCGTCACGTGCCCGGCTCCCATGTCTTTGAGCTAATGAGCGGTCATCAGGGCACGACTCCCCGCCCCGTGTGCTGCCGTGTCCGCAGTAGGCATTACACCGCGCGCGGAACGACACACCCCGGGTGTTTATGAATCCACTAACTGGCACACCCTGAATGTTTATCAATGCACAAATTGGATGCTCGCGTTGCTCGTCCTTGGTGGAGTCCTTAGGGACGGTTTCGATTACAGCTCGAACAAACAACTGCAGCTCGTTTGGGACAAAACACCCAGGTAATGCAATACATCTGGGCCAGCATGACAGAAGGCGGCTGGCAGCTGATAAAAAGCAGATCGCGCGCCTGTTGTCGGCTGAGCGGGCCAGAGGAGACGACTGAACCTCCTGACGCGGCGAAACACACCCACCAGTGGGTCACTGGCCGCACACTCGCTGGTCGTCTCATGATCGCTCGTTTGGAACATTTCAGCTCGTATTGTGAGCGCTGCGTTTAGCACACGTCTTACAATCGCGTCCGTTAGGACTCATGTCCCATTACCGAAAACAGGTCAGGCTAATGAGGCCGTGCTGTGTGGATGTGCTCAGCAGTGACGGCCACAGCGGCTGCCATGTGTGGTGTCTGCCGCTGAACTGACGGCGGCCCGACAGATGACAGTCTGTTTATGCGTGTAGAGGACTCCCAGGGCGGCTCCCAGAGTCCGGCAGGCTGCTGAGTGGGCCGCGGAACCCATAGTAGTTATGACAACGTGATGACAGAACGATTTATGACGCTGTTCCGGCTTCTTTAAGTGCAAAGTGGCGTGATACTGCTTACGTGGTCTGCAGACAAATGAACATGATCGTACAATGGTTTCTTGTTGAAATGTTATCTCGAGCGTATATTCAACTCTCTTTGATGTAGCACTGAAATGTGTTACACGTAAACCGTGCTGGCGAAGTATTTATCTGACAAGGGACAGTGCTTCTAACACATGTTCGAATCGAATCTATCTAAAACTCGTTGTCGCGTGGGACACGGTGTTGTCACTGCCACCCACTCCCCACTGGTACAGGGGGAGGGGAGGTAGGGGGGGGACCGGGGTTCGGCTGTCAGCTCCAGCAGACAGAGTGGCAACTTACAGCGGCCGGTGCCAGCCGGGCTGTCAGACGCCCGTGTCCTCACACCGCAGAGGCCCCACGGAGGGGTGGCCGACCCACAGTCACGTGACGCACTGCTGGGCCCAGGGCTGCGGAGTCGATGGATTTTCGGCGACTCCGACTCCGACTCCGACTCCGGCTTTCAAAAACCAGCTCCGACTCCGACTCCGACTCCGGGCAGAATTGTCGACTCCGACCGACTCCAACTCCCGACTCCGACTCCGCAGACCTAGCAGGGCTGCGGAGTCGACAGATTTTCGGTGACTCCGACTCCGACTCCGGCTCGGGTTTCTAAAATCGACTCCGACTCCGACTCCGACTCCGGTCACAACTGTCGACTCCGATCGACTCCGACTCCGACTCCGACTCCGACTCCGCAGCCCTGGCTGGGCCGGCGGGCGGCGGCACGTGACCTGACGACAGCCGCGCCCCGTGTCACGCCGACAGGGCCAGGTGGCATGTTGGTTGTCATGGCGACACTAACCGGACAGCTGTGCCGCCGCGGCGGAAAATTTCAGCGGTGACAGATGTCGAGATATGGGCTAATGGCGGGCTACTGCACTGAACGCTGTCAACCCCTGACGTGCTGCAGGCAAAAATGGGCCCGATCCCGATCGATTTTGAAATGAGTCAATTCAGAAAATGTGTTAAAACACCGGCGAATATATCATTATTACGGCATTGGCTACAGATTGGTGTTCGGCGTTGGCATTTCGTGGTATTGCATACATTTCATCTCTTATATTTTTTAATTAGATCATCTTTTCCATGTCTGTGTTACCACCAAGCAGTCGTATAGTAGTAACCTTCCTAATTAATATGTTAAGATAAATATTCACATCCTTCCACATCGACTAAACGCATGCCCAAATAAAATACATTCTTGAATCTACTAATGACCTTGCAATCGACGCGTCAGGAATCACTGATATTGTTTTATATCCTTATCAGGACATAGTAGCTGGCAAAAACTGAAATCTCCATTAGTGCTAAACCAACATGTTTATTAAGGTATTGCCAAGTAAGATCCAGTTTTAACAACAGATGATGTACGATGTGTTTCTCACCACAAAACTATGTAAGTAATGCCACAAATATAAAACATCTTATGTGTACGAGTAATTTCGCCCGCTAAAGCAACAACGCGGTAATGCTAATGAGATCAAAGCCACTGCAAACAAAGCTCGATGTTATCCGCACACTAAGCCTGACGGGACAGGATAAAGCCTTGTTAACATCGCTATCTGCTTCAATCATTCGACAACGGTCAGGACATTAAACGGCGTAATTGGGCCTGCTAATTGCTGGATGTTTTACAAAGCGCTTCTGGATTTTGTTGGTATACACTATTGATTTGAAACATGCACGCGACATACGTACTGTCTTTTTTAGCTACCCAAAATGATGTAAAACAGTAATGTGAAACGCCGACCTTTTGATCAGTGTAATGATTGTAGCCACGTCATTTAGTCCACCGAAGCTCATCCCCCCGTGCCAACGTGCAATGGCACCAGTGTGGCCTCTCTTCGACCACTGGCCTCTATTAGGCTGACCGGCGCCTGGGTTGGCACCCGATAGATCACCATCGTCTGCCCCAACCTCATGCGTCATCCTCCTTGCCCCCGCCCTCCAACCCAGAACAACCCTAGCGACCGCCCAGCATCCCCGGCACACCAAACTCTGCAGCGGTACACCACGCGCGGACCGTTCTGATTGATACGATTACCCAACTGTCGGGAGTTTTTCTGCGGCAATCACTGAGCGAGGAATAGAGCGCGTGCGGCGTGCCGACTGTTGTTATTGGCGTGGCGCGGTCGGTGTCTGCGTCGGTTTCGTCTCACATTGCTGACGTCAGAGATGGGTTTAGAGAGGTGAAAACCTGCGCGACATGTGAACGCGATTTGACTTTAGAAAAGTCCTTGTGTTGGCCAAATATCGCCCGCGTGATTTATAATTCAAGCCAAAGTAAATAATTATTTGCCTGCGTAAGTATTTAGGACCATTAGCGTCTAGCCGTCACTACAAATGACAATTTTATCTGTCTGTGTTCCGCAGCCTGCCTCTGGTGCTGGGTGTGGCAGCGGGAGCCCTCATCACCCTCGTCTTGGTCATCATCATCTCTTGCTTCTACTGCAGCTGCTGTGCCGGCTACAAGAAGCGCAGCGAGGCCAAGAGAGGTCAGTGAGTCAGGGTCGCTCGGAGCCGCTTCTATTTCCGTCTTTACAAGGGGGACTTAAATGTGCGGCAGACGTATAAGATCCACGCTCTCAAGAATAGCAATCACCAGAGCTGTAATAAGCTGCACATCCCGGGTTCACAAAATCCACTGATCGCAGTTCGCACAGTTATTGACATCTGATAAATGTCTTCCGCATGCTCTACATACTGACGTAATTGTGGAAGTGAAGCATAGACGATGCAAGGTCTCTTGAGCAGGATGTTTTTCGAAAGCAAATACTCCAGTGCTGAAGATAAACCGGTTCCAGTGACTATACCGCAGTCCGCACTCGACGTATCGAGTAACGAACTGACAAATAAACCACGAGGCCACACCGGTACCGCCTCTTGGCTTTATACCCCGTAATCGACCACTTAAATTGTCATGATTATTTTTGCATTTCTATAGGGAAGGGGGATAGAGGAAGGAAGGACAAAGAGGAGAGAGAGAAGGAGGGAAAGTGAATGAGTGAGAAGAGAGTGAGAAAGAAAGTGAGGGTTTGAGAGGGAGAGAGAAAAAGAGGGAATAGAGAGTCTAACCACACCCCTCTCCCCGTGCCGGCAGACCGGATGTACGCGTCCACGTCCAGCGGGGTGGCCAACATGTACAGCTGCTCGACAGCCTCGCTGGGGAGGCGCGACTTCAGGGAGGCGGGCCGCGACAGCCGCCGCGAGCAGCTCGAGGACATGCTGCACATCCAGGAGGTGATGGAGGTGGCATCGGTGTCGCAGCGCAGCGCGCCCAGCCTGCCGCGCACCTTCCGCCACAACAGAGGTGGGTAACAGCACCTTCCGCCACAACAGAGGTGGGTAGCAACACCTTCCGCAATACCTTCCGCCACAACAGAGGTGGGTAACAACACCTTCCGCCACAACAGAGGTGGGTAACAGCACCTTCCGCAATACCTTCCGCCACAACAGAGGTGGGTAACATTCACCTTCCGCCACAACAGAGGTGGGTAACAACACCCTCCTCCACAACAGAGGTGGGTAACAGCACCTTCCGCCACAACAGAGGCGGGTAACAACACCTTTCGCCACAACAGAGGTGGGTAACAACGCCTTCCGCCACAACAGAGGTGGGTAACAACACCCCCCGCCACAACAGAGGTGGGTAACCAACACCTTCCGCCACAAGATAGATGGGTAGCTCGCCAATAGGTGCCCTAACCAACGAAGACATCCACATTCCACAGGTTTGTTGGATGGGTCCAATTTTCTCACGGCTTGCAATGCGGTAGGCATTACCTGTCCTAAAGGTATGGTTAGTAGAGGAGCCAGCTAGGTCGTGCGGCACAGCCTATATACAGGCGTTCTTGTCCTGCCATCTAGCGTCAGAAACTGAAACTAAAATGGGTACAGGGACCCGCAGTTGCTACTGTACACATATATTACCAATTTAGAATTGCGCTACTATTTGCTAAGTGCTGGCCATTGGAGAAAGGAAATGTAGCGCAAAGTATGGAGGAATAACACATGTTTGCTCCTAGCACGTATGTTTTGTATAATTTCTCTTACTGCAACAGATATTCTTCCAAAACTACAATCGTGCATTTTTCCGCGCCGGTTGCCTCCCCAGAGCCCGTCCTTGGTATCGCCTATAGCTTCCGTTCCCGCTACGTGAATGAAAGTCACGTGACTACTACAGGTTTGCGCTCAGTACTAACACACCTAGCCCGAGGGCCGGTCCGTAGCGGGGAGGGGTAGAACGCCTGAGCTCCAGCGCAGTGGAGGTGGTGGTGGCCCGTATCATAAAGAGGCATCCGTAAGCAGAACTACAATTGCCGCAGTATAAGATTATGATCAAGTTTTCTTTAAATGTATTGATTGACAAGAAAGTGCAATGTTTATCCGATATAATAAAACGGTGTGCAAGGCCTTGGAAGAACTATAAGACATATTCAGCAACGTATAAATTTCTGATACAGGCCATGACCTTTCACCTTGCCTCCGGGGAGGACCGCTCAGGAAGCCACATACCGAACGAATCGAGGCCTCGCAGCGCGGCGGCAGAGGAGGTGGATAAACCATCGCCAGATCTTTCGATTACTAATGTTTCCAGAAGAAGGGGGGGGGGTGGAGGGGGGGGGGCTATTTTCAAACCACTCACCAATCCTTTCCTTATTAACTTATAGCTTACCGAAAAATGCAACACAATGGTGGCCGTCACGAGATGTAGCGAAGAGTGCCTCAGCCACACCGGTTTTGAGTAAACTTTAAGCATTCGAATTCAGGCCAGCGATCCTGAAGCATTATTTTATTTTTGTCGTGCATAAGCTGGGATGACGTGGTCCCAAGTTAATTGCGAAGAAACGGTTTTAGTTTCAGAACATTTATGAGGCTAGTCGCGCCAAATAGTATACGTTTGTTGTAAAATGTCAAATAGAATGTTGACGTGCTATCCAGATGATGGAATTTATTTGACACAAGAAGTAAAAAAGTGGCATCGTTAGTCATCCTGCATACCTATAAATCGATTCGTCACCTTGGTTCGAGCTTAATAGTTCTTTTCGCGGATGATCGGTTTCGTTTTCTTTTATTTGGGGGGGGGGGCAGTTTATGAGCCAGTAACCACCCTTCCCAGCCCCCAAACAACCATTGTTGACAAATACTGTGATGGCCTAAAAAATGCCTTCAATTGTGTAACGTAGGGAAGAATGAGGTAAGTTGAGCCGCTTTTGTTTTTCGTAAGCTACAGGCTAACTTACTGATCATTTTTTCTGCGTTTACGAGTTGGACGGACAGGGTGGTCATTGCGCATGCAATGGTGGCCAGAAATGTTTCATACCGCTTATTTTTGTACTGAAAGGCTACGTCAAAAATCATCTTGCACGTTGCTCATCTTACCCCATGGGCGGGGTAAGTTGAGACACGTCGTGGGGAAAGTTGAGCATTGATGGAAAAAGCGAACCTCTTCTTTTCCCGGGCGCGGCGAAGAGTGGGCTCTTTTATTTACTCCATGGCATACATACTTATGGCAAAGTTTTTTTTCCTCCATCAAAAAGTGACTGTTTTAAGCCTTCCAATAACTCGTCAAGTTTTCTATCACGAAAGAAATCATTTTATCCTTCAGATAATCTGCAAATCACTTACAACTTGTGTAATCAACAAAGAAAAACAATTTCCTACCATTTTTATTAAGCAGATACAAGCGCAGCGCAGTTTGGTTTTCGACAGCGGAGACAACAATGGCTTATCCGGCTCATCTTCCCCCAGGTGAAAATGGCTCATCTTGCCCCACCCGTGGCCATTTTCGATTAATGACACCAGCTAAGGAAAATAACCATGCACCGCAGATAACAACCATCTCATTTTAAAGGCAAAACATGTCTTAGTTATCAGGGGCGATACCACATGTTACCGGGTGCTGAGCGTGAGAGCGTTGCCGTCTCACGTGAAAGACTGCAGCATCGTAAGCGAACGGCACATGGAAGCTCAAGTCAATCAGCGCCATAGGAGCTGAGAAACATGGGGTGAATAAACTTGCCCCTTGGCTCATCTATACCTCACTCTCCCCTATTTGGGGCTCGCAACCTTGATTCGTTAAAGTTATTTGTCTGTTCATTATAAAAGCTGTCAAATTTGCCGTATCATTAAACTTTTATTATGTTTGTATTTCACACTTATCTAAAATGAACAATTTTGTCACTGGCTTCTTTTATGAATGGAATTGGATGGTCGCATGAATGAACGAATGAATAGCTCCATTTGAGCATCAGCTGAAATCAATCCTAAAATTTAATCTACCAGTCTGCAACGAAAAGGTTTAAAAACCAGTGCAAGTTAGGTGCAGTTTCTAATCTATGCCGTTTTTTTATTAAGTGTCTCATAGTTCCTTAATCTTGAGCCGCTTCTCTCACGATTCATTTTATGTGTTGCTTACATTGTTCAAGAAGTTATATTATTCGAGCTCGTTGGTCTTAAAAACTGCTATCGAAGTAAATTAAAGTGTTTCGGGCTTCGGCACTTAAAAAGCAATCGATATTTAACCCTCACCTATTTAGGTATTTCTTTTCAGCGTCTTACATGTAGCGGAGGGGCGTAGAAACCCTCAGCCATTCGGCCCTTGATAAAAAGAGCCAGAGCTTCGCTGAAAAATAAAAAAGAGCGTGCTGCTCGTGACGAGCGAAATCCGATGATTTGAGGGTCCTGGTCATCGCTGACGAGAAAAAGCCAATTATTGGTATGTCCTGGTCAATGCTGAGATCCTAGGTCACTAGTTGACCTCCCAGATCAGGTTAATAACCCAAAAGCACGGAAAATTGGGTCCTGCTAGAATTTCTACAAGTGAAATTTGCTGGGACTTGGCTTGCTTCTGACTCCGAATTTGCACTTGCTTTGATCAAAGATGATGTATCAAAGCATTTGGTGTAGGACGGGTCACGCCAGATCACCCATTAGGCGTTCTGCCGGCTATATAGAATGTTAACCAGCACTTACAGCTTTGCAACATATTGCATAGGCACTATAACTGATACCTAAGTATGCCTAGTTTTCAAATGCTAAAATGGGTGCTAAATTTCAAACCAACACTTCCTAAAAACCACAGTAAAAAGGTGTAAGTTTAAGGAAGTTAACCGAGATCATTTCAAGTAAATGACCTTAACCTGAGTTTCACGTGACCTTGGCACCCACAACAATTAATGAGACAAACATTAGATAGTATATTTCACATGTTGTCACGTTGCTAATCACGAAACGACTATGGAAACACACAGAAGATGTGCGCTGACTTTCAATTGCTATTCTGGCCTGACATGATCTTGAGAAAAATAATCACAGGTTAAAGGTAATTTGGTTCAGGGATTTAAAAGTCTCAGACAAGATGCAAAAATGATAAGGGCTATTTAATTTTCCGGGAAGTTGTAAAATTGATTAACTCCAGGGCACCAAGGAATCGTCGCAATCCTTCGCTTTGCCGCGATTTATTGGTGTAAAACAGCGGGCGCGGTCTACTTACCTCTACTTATATGTGTGGTGAGGGCTAATATTCATTTTATCTGTGTTGATGAATGTGCAACAATTTCTATATGAACTGAGACCAGTCCATATGAGTATGTTTTTCTCACGGACAATGACAATATAAAAACAATGCGAATAAAACCAAACGTTTCGGACAACAACGTGTCTTCGTCAGTGGAGAAAAATAAGTGTATAGGTTTAACATCGATGAGAACTAAATGCGACACCGTCTCGGTCTGGCCAGCCGGGTTGCCGATAAAATACACAAATGTTTATAAGCTTCCATGATGTGCTTAAAAAACTGCTGAAAATATATCTTTAAAAATAAAGATAACTACTTCATCGATGTCATCGAAAGAAAACATGTATGCCTAATTACTCATTTCTTGCCACTGACGGAGGCACTTTTTTGTGCGAAACGTCTGGTTTTATTCGTATTGTTATATTGTTATTGTATTGTCATTCCCTGTGAGAAAAAAGGATAACTCTTCAGTTAGTAACCATACCAGCGAAACGGCTTATTGTAACACAATTCACTGTGTATACGAAAACTATAAGTCCCTAAAATAATTCTATTTAGAACTTTTTAAAAGATACAGCTTATACATGGGCATACAATTTTTTCTGCATTAGATACGCTTGGCAGTTTTTGCTGCCACAGGACAAAATAGCGCCGCATTCCTAAACGTTGCGGTGAACTTTCAAAGTTCTCACCCGAACGGAAGACCAAAACAATGCACGTCATGTGCGCTCCGAATTATTGATCGAGAAAGCGAATGTGCTGAGAAATAAACAATTTATCGCGGGGGTGCA